TCTCCTTCGGTTCCTTTTTCTTCTTTCTTCCCTTCTGTCTTTCTCTCTTGGCGAAGGATGAGAGCCTCGTTTCAACATTCTTCGGTGTTCTGTTATTCGTTATCGTAATTACGATATTCGAGTGGCGCGCGAGATGGAAATCGCGTCTGTCGGAATGATAGGGGCATTTTGGGACGCCTGTAATCTATCGCGGTGGCGGTGATAGTCGAACGCGAGAGAGAATCGGCGTGCGCTCGACTCTCTGCCGCATAAAGAAACACGTTTTTAAAGTACGGTATTAAGGGCTACGTAATGTATAACATCAGGCCTGATAAGATATAAATGTAGCATACAGCGGATCGTTATTGCTCGTAATAAGCTGCGACATTAAGAGGCGCGCATCGGTGTGGCTGGCGTTCGACCGAGCCGCCCGAATATTATCGCGTTGCAACATCTCTTCTCCCAGGGTTGCGCGGTGTTGCGCGGTTTCTCTCTTCGGCCGTTCGCGACGAAATAGCTGTAGAGACCTGTGAAAATGGTAGCCACGAAAAAGGACAACGCGAGGTGGCTCTCGAGGAACGTGGCCAGCATCGTGAATCTGCGCGTTGCTACGATTTTGCAGCTGATCCAATTCCCTTATCTTTCTCCTTTCTTTCTTTTATTTTTATTCTTTCTTTTCTTTTTCAAAATATTAAATTGCTACCTCTTTGGCCGAGACTCGGACGTAATTTTGGGCTATGTCGTAAAATGTATATACTTCGTTTCATTTTTTAAGAGAACGATATTAATCGGGTCGTCTCGTTTAAACTTCCAAAGCTGGTGGTTAGAATCTATCAATTATTTATTCGTTTTCGTCAATTTCACAAACAGCCACAGGCCGCTTAATAACATGTACGATGTTCGCCTTTACACGGTGTAAATAAAAAATAATCGCTGCTCAACGCTGGAATATGTTTTTGACCAGCGTTTCTGTGAAATTTCCCATCCCATCCCATTCCCGTGCCGTGTAAAATATCTCTCCGTGGTTAGTGCGACGATCAAACATGCAGCAGCTACGTAATCTAGAAATAATTCAATTTAGCCACATCTCGTCCAATTACGCGACAATGCACGGCCGGTGCATTACGCGTATTATTCCTCGCGCATTTCTCGGCCGACTGCATTTAATTTTACTCTGCGTTGCAACCCTTTGCTCATCCTCCGCTCGGTACCAACCTACATACTTCGTCGTCGATACAACTCGTATTCAATTCTTGCAGCATTCTGAAACAGTAGGATATATTATATCTCGAATATCGAAACGTGCTCTCGCGTCCTTCGGGCGCAATTATATCAGAATCATACTTGTCATCGATTATAAGATGATTACGTGTTGATTACCGAGGCAATTATTTGCATGAACGCGCGATCACTCACACATGCTACTTTCGTGCTTGAGTTTTCGAGCTCGTGTACAGACGGCGCGCATATGTCGAGAGAGAGAGAGAGAGAGAGAGAGAGAGAGAGAAATCACCCCTCCAGTACGACCGGTGTTCACGGGTAAATTGTTCGTCGTTCGTCCGACCGGCATGTCGTTGTATAGTCGTTGTATAGTCGTGATAAAACGAACGAACGCGAGCAAAAGTTTCGGAAAGAGCGAACGTAACATACACATACTGGACGCGAGTTGCAGGTATTTACGAGCGAGTGGAGAGCACGAGCTTGCCAGAAGTCGGCAGGTGCTCGTGGCAAAAGGTGGCGTCCCGAGACAGCCTTGAGAGAGCGTGCACACGGGTCGTTGCTTTCGGCGAACGATGAGAAACAAAATTAGTCGCCTTTGCCGAACGAAGAGCTCGCCTCGTAGCATCGCCTCTCCGCGAGAAAGTCAGCCACTTTTGTGAAAATCTCTCTCCTTTTTCTTTTTCTTCGCTTTCTTCCCGCTCGCTGGTTAATTTGCCGAATGACTGGCAATACTGTTGGCCACCAGTTTTCGGAAATTTTCGGACCTGCTCCGTGCCACGTTTATCTGCTACGTTTCGATGAAGGTTTCGCGGATAAATGGAATTTCACTGCCTCGACTAGTAACGATGCATATAGATAGTATCTATGCAAAATTTTCGTACCTGTTATACTTAAATATAGTTAAAAACCGACGAATATATTCAGAGAACGACGCAAACATTCTTGGAAATATACGTACAAAAAGCTCTTGCTAACCAAAGCAATGCTGGCTCCAGTCGTTTGAACTGATTCGTGTTTTGCTGATCAGTATTGTTGAATCATATTAAATTCAGCCAAAGAAATGTACACTTTTTGTATATTCCTCATATCTACACATTTCCTATTAAGTTCACTGTATACTTACTTGCAGTAATTTCGTTTAATTTACAGCTCGCTACCGTACAGTAATAATCAAAACGCTGCGTTGGCTCTGCTCAATAAAACAGCTTTCTTGCAACGTTTCTTTATACCTTATCGTGCTCTCTTAATGCCACATATGTATTCACAAGCCGTGTATGATTCAAAATTATTACCTGCATTGTCAATGAAACAAATCGAAGAGTTTGAAACCACAAGGAAGTGGATAGAATTTTTATGTTTCCTAACAGACTTACCGATCATTCCGTTCTCATTTCTATCTATCTTTCTTTTTTTTCTCTTTTTTCGTTTCGAGACCTTCAATAAATATATTTTATAACGGTGCGTTAAAAAAAAAAAAAAAATGGTCGAATTTTCATCCAAGAGTCTCCGTAAATATTAATATTTTATACTCGGTATCTTAAATAGCCGAGCGGTGGTAGTAAAAGTTTCTGATATTGCGGAATTATTGCGGAGTGTCGTCGGTCGTTCCCAACAAGACGGAGAACACGATCTCGACGCCTAAAAATCGAGCAATCGGCTAGTCTGGGGAGAGAGGACGAAGGGTCGTCGGCATAGAACAATGGAACACGGTTGCACCTCGGTTCAAGGTCTGACGGGGTGCATTTAGAAATCGGTTTAGACCGAATTCACCAATTTAGCAAATAGACAATTTCAATCGCGCGGGTGGCAATTTCAACTGAGCCGGGATGTCTCGTGAGTTGCGAGATATCCAGAGGAATCTGCGCGTTTTCGCTGGTTATCGACGTTAACGTTTGATAATTAGTAGAAAGGAGAGGGACAGCTTTTTGCATCGGTTGTTTTTATATTGCGCGCAAACTGGTTCCTTTTAAAAATTTTATCGCAGCGCACCTCTAAAGAAGGAGAATCATCTCGGTTCCTTTACGAAGGCGTGTGCTCTTCAACACGCGCAATGACTTCGTTTTTTGCACTGTACGTGAGAATGGAATTTTGATTGATTTTTCTTTGGAAATTAAATTTCGCGGGCATTTCCCGCGTTCTCTTCTTTCTTCCTTTTCGGCTTTCATGTTCCTTGTTTTTCTCTTTCTCTCTTCGCAAGATTTACACTTTATGCTAATTATAAACTGCAACTGGGAGAAAATTACGAGGTTGATCGGTGATCTCGGAATCTCGGCACGAACTACAAATTCCTGCAGCTAGGGAATCATTGGCGTCGGAGTTCAAGGACGATAGACCGGCGGAACTTCACCTAGCTTAACTGATCTAGAGCGAAGATATTCTTGATACATCGATTACGGGAAACTTAACCATTTTACTACGGTGTAATGGTTTAGCGCAGGCTACAGTGTATTGCATGAACGTCCATGCCAAGGCAGATTCTGCAGGAACTTGTTTCGCAGTGCTTCGTGGGATATCGTAACAAAAAATCGATTTTTCTTGTTTCATCGATGATACTGCACAAGTATCGTTGTGAGTTTCATTACATTTAATCGGGCAAAAAAGGAAATGCTGCGTCTTACTTGAATCGTGATCGAAATGTCTTAATTTATTCGAAAGTCAAGTCAATGCTTTATTTTAGAAAAGATGCTCAATAGCGTATGGTCAGTATACAAATACATAATTAGCATATGTACGTAATTAGTAACAAAGTTGTGAAATAGAATAATCAAGTTGTAAAAAATTCAAGAATGATCTCGTTCTCGTACTACGTAGTAACCGTGATTCCCTTTGAACTACTCTTGACATCGTATCTAATTTACGACGTGATAGGGAGCCTCGAACGATCCAACTATGGTTTACGACTCGAACGATACTTTACTATTATTTCTCGAAAGTCGTAAATATCTTTCCTGTTGCATTTTCTTCCGATCTGCCGTGATTGCATGTATCGCAGAAAAGAGTACGGACGAATGCATTTTCTAGGCACCCTGTATGCAGACACAGAGGTCGTTGACGGGACTGCGGACAGCGAGATTTATCGCGAACGATACGACGAATACTCGGGAAATGCAGTATTTTCCATATTTGAAAACGAACAGTCCAGATCGTATCGAAAATGACATTAGCACAAAAGTCTTTTTAAAACAAAATAATCTAAAATTCCAACTGAAAAAGGAAACGAGGCAGATGAACGCTAGATATTTAAGAATAAAACTGTGGTCAAATCGGGAGGAATGGTCGTTAATTAATATTACGATCAAACAAAGCTGGAGATAAGGATGTTGACGGTGAGTAATTAAATTAACCGAAACCGACATCGACGAAATGAAAATGCATTCCTTGATCATCCCGTCGCGTCTCGCGTTATCGCGAAGAGATGGAGCTACGATCCCAGGCAGCCCCGGGCTGGCAAACATCGCCGTTGAAAATCCGGTGGTGCAGCCGGTGAGCCGGTGCTCTAGCGGGGATTCGTAGGGAAACTTGACGAAGAGGCGAGAGAGCACGGGCGGTAACACGGAGGGGGTTGCAAGTTGCAAGCCGGTAGGGACGAGTACACGCGCCCGTATCCGGAGGCGAACGAAGTGCGGCGCTCTCGGCCGGTAGGTGCGCTCGTACTTTGTGCGCCGGTGAGCCGAGCAGTGGTGGGGAGGGGTGGTACAGTGCCACGTGATCGTACCGACCAATCGCAGGCACGCATAGCCGGCGTCCGGCACATGGCGGCGCGCCGGCTTTTAGCACCCGCAGTCGCAGTACGTCGCAGTCAGTCGCAGTGGTAACACGAGCGAGAGGGTAGTTGTACGCTCCTGCCTTCGAAAGGAAAGATCGCGGCGAGGGGGAGAGAGCGAGCGAGTAAGTGAACGAGCGCGCGCGCAAGAGGGAAAGAGAGAGAGAGAGAACGCAAGCGAGCGCGCGAGATAAAGAGAGAAAGAAGGAACGAAAGAGAGAGCGCGGCGCCCCTTGCCTCCGTTTTCAGTGCTTCAGTCGCGCGACGACGCTCTCGGACGCTTTAGTCAGTCGGTCGGTGACGAAGCTCCCAAACGTGATACACGCGCCGTTACGTTACGTTACGTTACGCCGTTCCGTCGAAGGGGAGAACGAGAGCGAACGAAGCGGGGAGAAACACCGAGGAGGAGACGAACGAACGAAATAACAATTGTATCGGTGAAAACAGATACGCGAAGGAAAAAAGAAGGAAAAGAGGAGAAACACGAACATTACGAGCGACGACTTCTGACGGTTTGCGAGTCGTCCTCTTGAACACACGAATCTCCCATACGATCGCAATTCCAACCAGAGTGTGAATAATATCGAGAAGGCCATTTTCATAGCACGGCTTTACACGCGGTGAAAGAAAGCGCGCGAGTGTAAGAGAGAGAGAGAGAGACTGAACGACAAGGAAAGAACGTGTGTGATTGTGGACACGAGAGATTACGACGACTAGCAGGCCCACACGTTTCCAGTGTACGAGCACGACACTCACGCCCGTGCGTTATTCACGTCGTACACACGCGTCGCACAGAGAGGAAGACCCGGACGAAAAAAAGAAAGAAGACAGAGAAACGATCACCGACGAAGCGACGATTTTATTTTTGTACGGTGCATCGTTGTTTTTCCTACGTACATTACACGAGAAGAGTAGATCGCTCGATTTCTGCTTGGTGTAGCAGCGGCACTCTCTAGTCCTCGTCCTAGAAATAATCCAGTGTATGTGGTGTGCACGCGCGCGCACGTGTGTTTCGTTGTTTTCCGATCGTTTCGAGTTCAGACTTTGTCTGCGAGATACACGTCTCCGTTCGGCGCGGTTCGACCGTTAAACTGACAACGACAATTTGATCCAGAGTGAGGTGAACTACACGAGGTGAAGGAAGAAAAGGAGAAAAAAGCAAAAAAGAAGAAAAGACACGGGCTGTGAAGAAAGGAAATAAGTGGAGAAAAGAAATCGGTGAATAAAGAAACTGTGATTTATTACTATCTGTGCGAACTATCGACGTACGATTCGAGTTCACCGGTGCGACACAACGCGATCATCTTAAGTCGAGCGATATGCCGACGAGTTTGTTCAGCGAAATGGATCGGGGAGCGAATGGCGGTGGCACTGCCTCCCTCGAGGACCAACGAGCCCTGCAATTGGCGTTAGAATTATCTATGCTTGGTCTCGAGGGTACTCCCGGATGCCCGGGCACTGGCACAGGAACCGGCACCGGAACGGCCAACGATCCGGATCCTCTGCAAACGACACCGGCAGGCGTTTTCGAGGAGGCACGTTCGAAGAAGAGCCAGAACATGACCGAGTGCGTGCCGGTGCCTAGCAGCGAGCACGTGGCAGAGATCGTCGGCCGACAAGGTAAGAGCACGAACATAACCTCCACTTCTCGCGGACTTTCTTTGGTCGTCGAACGTTTTCTCCTTTCCTTAGTTTTAAAGTAATCGATATTCCGTAAATTTAACGCGTTAAATCCCGACGATACGTTGATGATAATGGTTTATCGATCAACGATAAATTTTACGGTCGAAAAGCAAACGCAGAGAACTGCTGCGTGTTTCGACAAGTTGTGATTATACACGACGGTTTAGCGCAAGGTACTTGGAGTCGTTCGAATCGCGTACAACTGCGCGTCAACAATGACATTCGTTGTACTCTTTAATATATCGATATAAATAGAAATTCCTTCGAAAACCTTGGGTGACCAAAACATGGTTCGATACCGTTTCTGGTATATGGCCTGAAATATTTTTTAATTCAATAAATATCGAAACGTTCGTCGGCAAAATGTCGTCCTATTACGTTCTAATCGCACTCCGTATGCTACGTTTACGTAAGTTGAATTCACACAGTACGTTACTTTTGCGTTCCTCGTTACCGGAATCTGTCGCGTACAGCACCACTGACAGTTCATTGGCACGGGCGTGAGTGTGGCGCGAGAAACGCGGTATCAAGTAATGGTGCAATTAAACCAATCTAACTTCGAAAAGCAAATTTATTTTGAAGCCTGATGGAACATCGTGCAGTGAACCCTGTCGTAGGTCGTGGTCGTTCGTCGGCTACCTTCGTGATCAGCCTAGATACGACTTTCTTGGTTCCACGATAATACAAAAAAAAAAAAAAAAAGAACAAGGCGAAAGATGGGAGAAAGAAGAGGAACAAAAAGATGCATATGAAAATACGCTTAATTTATAATCTGTTGCTGCATTAGTTATAAATTGTGTCAGCTTCGTAAGAAAACGATTATTTATACCTCATGGTTGACTGAGATCGATGACATTTTCGTAGCTCTCGCATGCAAACATTTCTTGAAACAGAAAAATCGAGCTCGTCGTTCTTTTATCTGTGCCGCGGCCGTATTCTTTTTTTTTTTTTCTTCTTTTACACTTAAGTTTCCAAGAAAGGTGTCAAGAATAGCGACGTCATACTTTGTCAGAGAACGACACTGCGACATCTAGAAATTCGCATGGCGCGCGTTAATGGATACGCCGTGCCAGATAAAAAGTATTCCACTCTTGCCATTTTAAATGCTCGAAGAAAATTAATTACTCTATTGCTGATAAATTTGTTCGATCGCGCGAAAATAATTGGATCGACTATGTATGTTCGATCGATGTTGTATGTAGATCGTATCGTACCGTTTTCTGCGGGTAAATGATAATTATATTGTTATCTGGTATCGTAATTTGACAATATTTACAATGGTTGAAAGCCAGCTGCTTGCCAGAGGACACAACGCGTCGACGACCGTTAAACCTAGAGAATTTCAAACAGAATATCAGGGTGGAAGTTTTACGAGCACCTTTCTTCCTTCCAAATGTCAAAGCCGCCGTTACAAATAAAAATAACAGACACGTACGTGACACAGACGCTAGACACCTACTTCCGACCTTTTTATACTACGACGATATCCACCGTGGTAAGTCGTGGTCAATAACTTGGAGTCTTTCGTTTCGTCCATTCTCAACGACGTGAAATGACAATTTTTGCCTTTTATAATCCACATTTCGTCGAGCACGCAAAACGTGGAAGATCCTCCCGACGTGGAGAACTCGTCATGGCTAACGAACACGTTTTTGTACCCTTTCTAGGAACGTGAAAAGATAATCTTTCCATTGAATAGCGAAACAGTTCGCAATCGTATGTTATCAGGACAGACGTATTGGTTTGTGTTTCAAAATTCAGGAGAAAACCTGAAACGCCGCTGCGCGGCGCCACGTGGCCTGCCATTTAAATCTTAACGTCTGTTATAGATCGCGCGCGCGCAACTCCGATCGCAGTCATCAATATCCGAGTCTCTCTGGCCTATTCTTTATCCACGCTCGTGAGATTCATGTTTTTCACCGATTAATCTCCAAGATGAAAAACGGTTCTTTTCGCTCCGAAGCACTTAATCGCGCACTTTCAACATTTGCATCTTTGCTCTCGATACATACATACCTCGATACGATTTCACACGCCGATTTCTGTACGCAGAACGATGGAAGTACTTTTTATTTTGATCTCTTTCGCGCGTTGGAACAAGCGCGATAAAATAGAAGACGGCGTGTAAATAGACACGGAAGGTGCGCGCCTATCGATTGCACGTGCGGTAGATCGATCATTTGCAGCTCGTTCTCGATCTTCCTCGTGGTGTCTGTCGTCACGTACGTACGAAGGCAATTTGCCTCGCGCGTTACACTTTTGCAAATTCGAAATTGGTCGCTTGCCAACTCCGCGGTTGACGTATCATACATGCATCCACCGAATGTTCGAGTCGATAAAGGTACAATTACAAATTCGCCTTTCGTTTCTGCTCTTTCGTAACTGGATATAGTCCCCCGGTGTAATATGCATTTCTGCGTTCGATAACTTTATTAACGTGTTGCAACGGTTACCGCGATTTACAGGGATCGATAAGTCGAACGTGATGGTGTGTGTACCTACCACCTAGTTGTTGTTTTTTCAGCCGAGTTCAATGTCTCGCGCGATCTTTTTATTACGCCGACGTTATTTTACTGCGGCTCGCGAGAGGTGCGCTCCTCGGCCCCGATATCTGTTCGATAACGTTTTATTATATCTGAATATAACGTACCTGGCAACGGCGTCGTTCCAACGACGCCTAAAGCATTCATCGATAGGAGGGAAAACGATGGCGTGTAAAAGGAAGCCGTATGGTGCTCGTCGGCTCATCACGTGAGACGCGCTAATATTGACCGTCCAATAACATTAGACTCGGACATTTAAAACGGTGTCAAGACTGTTTCGTGTTTTAAATTCAGTACCCGATGCGGATTTCCGTACGTGGTGCTTATCGTGTCTTCCGTTCAGCCCAGCCTTTCTCGCATCCTCCTCTCTCCGCGCCGCTGATCTCCCGACTGACAATGAGAACCGCTGGCGTGTCGTGCGACCGAAACGCGCGCGAGTAGAGTAACTGCTTACTCGACGATGCTTCTGCGTGGCGTGCGCAGTGCGTACTCGCCCAACGATTACGCCGTACCTTCGTTCAGATCTATTTTCATTTATTATGTATCGCGAGCTTGGTATTAGTGGTTGGTATATATATTTTTTTAAATTAGTCAACACTCCTATAGAAGCATCGATTAGAAGCAAGGCTCCTACGTCCACAATATAACGCGCGGAGTCGTTTATCCAGAAATTTATACTGGATACTACCGGTTACCACGGAGAAAATTGTCCGATGTGAAATGCGAGACAAAGGTGTACAAAAGCGATCGTAACGCGAATCTCACATTCCGTCGTTGACGTTTCCGATAATTTCCCTCGGATGGACACGTCTCAACGGTCGCGAATTATGATTTTCTTTTCTTACGTAAAATCCGCTTCCTGCTTTCCCGGTCGCACCGCGAGCCGATGACGGATCTACGTACATACGTCCGCTCTCGTTTCCTCTCTTTAACAGTTGCATTGTGTCTCGTAGATCCAGCTACGAGCCTTTTTTTCTCCCGAGGCGGCGACTGCAGCCCGCCTCGGAACCAGTTTAACATACCTGATACCATGAATCATTGCTACAGCGCGACTGTGTTCCCGGCCACTCTGGTACGCCTAAATCTCTCGACGCGGGGCAGAGCGTGGCTCCTAGGCGCGGTACACGCACGCTGATTCCCCGATGTACGGCTTATGCACGCGCGTCGCTCGCCCAGCGTTTCACGGCTGATGAACCAGCGTCCGTCTGAGCCGATCGTTCGGTTTTAACGGGAAGATCGGATCTTTCTGCGGAACGTAATCGTGTCGATTCAATAACGACGTCTAATGAGTTTGATACGCCGTTCCATTATGAGGATGTGGCTATTTGTTGAGCATTTTCGCTCGATTCACGCTCCTTTTCTCTCTCCTTCCCCACCGTTCGTCTTACTCGCGCTCGCGATTTCCGTCTCGTTCCCTCCGACCGGTCTGTGTTTCGCCGCCGCTGCTGCTGCTGCTGCTGCTGCTGATTCTCTTCTCCCCCTTCTCTCAGCCACTGTCACTCCGCGGTCTCTCTGCCTCTCCTCGTTTTCCTCGCTCCCTCGGGCCCGCTCTCTTTTTCTGGCTCGCTCTCCTGGACCGGAAGCTTGTAATGAGCGACTCCGTCGCCAGACTCGTCGCCTCGTGTCGCATCGCGGCGAACGATGACGTTACTTTGGAAACATCACGGCTGGTTATCCAGGTCGTTAGCTGCAGCGTCGCGTAACCGGCGCGGCGACGCGAACTGTGGCCCGCTCGCTCGCGTACGATGCTGCTGCACGCCGCCGCGATAGGAAGGAAAAAGCGTTTCGCTATTAACCGTCCCTCGATTCTGTTAAACGTGACGCACACGCGTTCGCTACGAGCACACCTCGTCCGTGTACGCACAACAGTACGCCGATTATTGTACGCGAGATCCAGATCTTATTGCAAATAAGACACGTTCGAAGCGCGCGAAACTTTCTCCGTGTGTATTTGCTTGGAATAGGTAGAGAGCGCGCGACGCGTGCCAGCTGCTGGCAGAACAGTTTTGTTTGTTTAGCGAAATAGGCGAATGCGGTTATCGAGGCTCTGAGGTTTATTTGTAGCCGGCACACCGAGATAGAGGCTCGAACTTGCGTTGTTCGTTGTCGGTTGCGCGCGTAACCGTAATACGAAGGAAATGTCGCCGGATTGTGCACGAGTATATGACGCCTGTGGTTTTTCCCGCGACCGATACGCGAAAGAAACGTCAGTGAGAATTCGAATGAATGCGGGGACGGCACGTTCTTTTTTTCTTTCTTTCTTTCTTTTTTATCGTGGCAACAGCACGTGCCCCGTGTTGCTCCCGCCACCTTACTTTTTCCACCGAAATGGAAGATTTGTGTCGACGATGAAACCGTGTTAATAGACCCGTACTGGCCCTACCGCTGTTCACG